CTGCTCTTCACCAGCAATGGAGGAAGTCCAACTGACACCTTGAAACAAAGCCTCTTTTGTGGCCTTCCTCCATAAAAGGTCCTATCTTCTCTCTTCTTCCAGTAACACAACAAATGTTTGCCAAGCATGGTCTGTGTTCTGGGCCCTGTGCTCTATACCAGGAACACAAAAATGAATAAGACAGCCTTACTTACATCATCACTTCCTTGCTTTTTTCTTTAGACAGAGTTTTGATCTTGTTGCCCAGACTGGAGTGCAATGGCACAATCGGCTCACTGCAACCTCCACTCCCAGGTTCAAGTGATTCTCCTGCCTCAGCCTCCGGAGTAGCTGGGAATTACAGGCACCTGCCACCATGCCCAGCTAATTTTTTGTATTTTTAGTACAGACGGGGTTTCATCGTGTTGGCCAGGCTGGTTTCAAACTCCTGACCTCAGGTGATCCACCCGCCTCGGCCTCCCAAAATGCTGGGATTACATCCTCACTCTAACTTAAAGCAATGGTGCCTATACAAACTGAAGCCCTCAAAGCTTCTGGATTATATTTTAAAATTCTCTCCTGTGTTTATACTGTCCCTCCTTTCCAGTGTTTATCTTGGGAATTATTCACTTTTTCCAGATCTAATCCACACCATAATCCCATTAACTGCTTCAAGCTAGACTTGGAGTGGTCAGAACTTGATTCCACATATATGTAACTCTCTGTGGAAAAAAACCAGAGTCCCAAAAGTCAATGCTATTTTGTCTCATCTTTCCATCTCACACTTCATTACTAAGTGTGTGATCTACGGCGACAGACATCTCAGTTTGAGAACTTACACAAGACATCATCTCAATGTTTAATGTAATGTTCCAAAGTAAGCACTAATTCCCTTTGGGTACCATAGTTCTAAAACTTTTTCTATATAAAATGATACCTCTGATGTAGGTATGACCCCCTGCTAGGGTTCATGGTGTCTAATGACTTATAAAAGTGAAAATATTATATACTTTGCAACCAGCAAAAGTCCTTATTCCAAGAGATGTAATTTAATTCCTGTGATCCAAACGTCCAAATTATTTTTATAATTTTATAAATGAACCCATCTCTAAGTTTTCCTTTCAATAAAAAATAAATATTGAAAGAAGAATGGAAAAATACCCAAGTTGCTGGTTTTTTCCAAAAATGATTATTTTTTAATACTTCATAAGAAACAAATGTGCAATTTAAGTGTAAGTATATGTTCATATACATAAATATACATATGTACACATACAGAGAGAGACAGACACCATGAATTCTTAGAAAGCTGAACACAAGTTTCATTGCTTAGAAATTCTGAGTTTGATATTTTGCTTCCTCTTTCTTATTTGGTTTTATTCAAGCTGCATCTCATTTATGTTTTTCTCTTAATTCAATTAAATTACCTTGATGATTTGAGTTAAAACATAGAAGCATTTATTGCAATCTCTCTTGATATAAAATGCATGAATTGTTCTATTGGAGTCAAATAATAATGTGTAACGATAAGATACATTCCAATGGCAATTCCTCCATTATGACCTGGCTGAGATATGACTCAAACTCTAGTTACTTAGTAACCAAAACTTAAACTAGTAACTTCTTTGACATTTTATTTCTGATCATGTTTTCACCCTGGACACTCCGAGTACCTGAGAGCTTCTTGGTGGAGCCCATGTCTTATCTAAAAATACCTGAAACGATTAGCTTTATCTTCCCTGCTTTTCAAACACAAGAGTGCTTATGAGAAAGAAAACTGATGTTGAGAAAGGCAGGATGAGAGAACAAATCTCTTCCATTTTTAATGAAATTAGTTACCAAAAATAGAAAAAAAAAATCTTTCCTCAACTAGAAGTTAAATATGTATTTCTATTTCTGAACAGTAGTTCTTACTCAACTATGATAGAGCCTGTGAGAAGGACTCAGTCCTCTAAAACACACTGATACTCTGAAAGGTTCAGGTAGGAGGTAGGAAGTGCCCAGCTTTGGGATGGGGCTAATTCTGATGTAGAAGAAGCCAAACGAACACATGGGGCAGATACCTTCCAGGCTGCCAGTGACTTTGGCTCTCTGTGTGACAAAGCAGAAAAAGTAGGGGTTCTCGGGTGTAGGTGGGCACCTGAAACCCTTGAAAGGTTGTCCCATGATGGGTGTTCTCAATGTATAAGCTTCTACACCGCTTTAGTTGTTGATGATTTTAAGACTAAAAATCCACTTGGGAAATCAGATAACAAAGTGCCCCAAGAGGATGGGCTTTCTTTTAGACACTTCTCATCTTTAATACACAATACAGCTAGAAAACGGTGTGGGGATCGGAAAGGTTAATTTCCGATGACTGGAAACTCACTGACCCTGGTTCACAGGGTAGGTTCATCCAGTCCTCTGTAAAACTCCAGGAAAATCAAGAAAGACCATTATGAATCAGCTCAGTTGCTACTGTGACAGTAATCTCACCATCATTATGTTTACCCCATGGAGAAAATACTATTGTTATTAACACTGGTTTATAATCTAATTGTGTGACAGATGATAAAGAACACCCACTATGTTCAGATCTGAATTAGACAGGAAGGTAGGAACGGTATAGAAACTTCAAGAGCACTTTATGCCTCCTGTCACCACTCTTTTTTTTTTTTTTGAGACATGGTCTCACTCTGTTACCCAGGCTGGAGTGCAGTGGTGCCATCTCAGCTCACTGCAGCCTCGGCCTCCAGCGTTCAAGTGATCCTCCTGCCTTAGCTTCCCGAGTAGCTGGGACCATAGACATGCACCACCACGCCTGGCTAATTTTTATATTTTTAGTAGAGGTGGGGTTTCACCATGCTGGCCAGGCTGGTCTCAAACTCCTGACCTCAGGTGATCCACCCACCTTGGCCTCCCAAAGTGCTGGGATTACACGTATGAGCCACTGTGCGCAGCTACTCAACTTTCTTATACAGATACATATTTGTTGAGTTAATAAATAAAATGTGCCATGAGTCTCTTGCTTTCCTAAGGGGATTTATGGGTAAGACTCTGTAAAAGTCTCTGGTCTGGACAGGGAACCATGGATGGTAACAGAAGAAGAGGGAAGGCAAGGCTGTGGGATGCTGCTCTCATGTGGCTTCAAACACTGGTGCAAAGGAGGGGTTTATAAGAAACTATGTCAGGCCGGGTGTGGTGGCTAACACTTGTAATCCCAGCACTTTGGGAGGCTGAGGCGGGCAGATCACCTGAGGTTGGGAGTTCGAGACCAGCCTGACCAACATGGTGAAACCCCATCTCTACTAAAAATACAAAATTAGTTGTGCATGGTGGTGCGTACCTGTAATCCCAGCTATTTGGGAGGCTGAGGCAGGAGGATTGCTTGAACCCAGGAGGCACAAGTTGCGGTGAGCTGAGATGGCACCACTGCATTCCAGCCTGGGCAGTAAGAGCGAAACTCTGCCTCAGCAAAAAAAAGAAACTATGTCACACAGTTAAAGTGGAATGACTATATCCTAAATATATTTTCTACATTATTATATATACATCATTAAATAAATTGAATATCGTATTTGATTATTTCAACCACAGCCCTAAAAGTATATATAGTAGTCCCCTCTTCTCCTCAGAGATACATCCCAAGGTCCCCAGTGGATGCCTGAAATCTCAGATAGTACCAAACCCTTTCTCAGTCTGATAACCAACAGAGCCACCAAATGCTTCGTAGGCCGGGAGCACGTAGAGCAGGAAGATGCTGGACAAAGGGATGATTCATGTCCCAGGTGGAACAGAGCAGGATAGCACAAGATTTCATCATGCTCCTCAGAACAGGACGTGATTTAAAACTTACAAATTGTTTTTCCTGCTATTTTCCACTTAATATTTTTGGACTTCAGTGGACCACGGGTAACTGAAACCGCAGAAAATGAAACTGCAGATAAGGGAGAGCTACTGTATTGGAAAAGAAACTTTTCTAGGGAGCGGGAGATGGGTCATCTCTTTGGAAAGACAAAAAAATTATCTTACACTCAGGAATATATACAGCTACATGTTTTTTGTTTGTTTGTTTGTTTGAGATGGAGTTTTGCTCTTGCTGCCCAAGCTGGAGTGCAGTGGCGTGATCTCGGCTCATTGCAGCCTCTGCCTCCCGCATTCAAGTGATTCTCCTGTCTCAGTCTCCCAAGTATCTGGGACTACAGGTGTGCGCCACCATCCCCAGCTAATTTTTGCATTTTTGTAGAGACGGGGTTTCACCATGTTGGCCAGGATGGTCTCGATTTGTTGATGTCATGATTCCCCTGCCTCAGCCTCCCACAGGGTTGGGATTACAGGATTGAGCCTCCATGCCCAGCCACAGCTATTTTATTTTTACAACAGTAGATTAAATAGTTTAATTGTAGTCCCAGCTACTTGGAAGGCTCAGGTGGGAGGATCACTTGAAGTTGCAGGAAGCCACGATGGCACCACTGCACTCCGGCCTGGGTGACAGAGAAAGACCCTCCCTCAAAAAAACAAAACAAAACAAAAAATAGTGAAGGCTTTGGAGGATACAAGGAAAGGCACAGCAAGGAAAATATTTTGGTATCTTAGTGTAGAAAACAAAAAGCACAAATGAAAATATTACAATGCAATTAAGTAATTTTTTGAAAACTGAATAAAAACAATAAGATTTTGACTATGGAATCAAGAAGAGAAGAAAAGAAAAACCTAAAATATGGACAGGAACACAGACACTTCAGCAATAGTCAATGTCCTCTGCAGACAGTACACACAATAGTATACACAAGGTGGGCTAACTCTGTAACAGTCTTCTAGCCACGAGAATCTCAAAATTATTTATAAAACTTTACAACTTGGCCAGCCATGGTGGCTCAAGTCTGTAATCCCAGCACTTTGGGAGGCTGAGGCGGGCGGATCACCTGAGGTCGGGAGTTCGAGACCAGCCTGATTGATATGGAGAAACCCCATCTCTACTAAAAATATAAAATTAGCCAGGCATGGTGGTGCATGCCTGTAATCCCAGCTACTTGGGACGCTGAGGCAGGAGAATCACTTGAACCTGGAAGGTACAGGTTGCGGTGAGCCGAGTTTGCACCATTGCTCTCTAGCCTGGGCAATAAGAGCAAAACTCCATCAAAAATAGAAAAACAAAGACACAAACTTTACAACTTACTAATATAAGGAGGAGATATGCAACCAGTAAGTCTAATTAGGATTCTGACCGTTTCTCATATGCAAAAGCATATCAACTAACCCATCTGCTGGATACAGCTCATCCTCATCTGGGATCTGGGGGTACAATTTACTCTCCCAGCACACCCTCCTCCCCTACCCCGATAGTGAAACTGTTTCACACAGGTTTCAGATCCTGGGAGGGATCCTAACTACCAAGGCTGTTAAGTTTTTAAATATGCAATCGTCAGAGAAGGCCCTCACTAGATGGGCAGGGGCTGGGCATCATGATAACAGAATTCCTATTTTCCCATGGAAATGAATTACTTTAAAAAAAAAACAAAAACAAACCCATTTGCTGGTGAAAGGGAGGAGAGAGAGGAAGTGAGGCTAAGCAAGTGTATTGGGGGGGTGGCAGATGAAGCGAGTCTTGTGGGTCTCAGGATGGTCTTTGGAACAGAAATTACAAAAACTAATTTGAAACCCAGAGGCAGTGAAGAAAAGGCATGGAAACCAAATGAAATACCATTTGATCTTTGGCCTCTCTGATCTGAAACTGGGCTGGGCCTCCAGCTGAGTTCACTGAGGCCACTGAACAGCTGTCCGGCGATAACCGCTTTCATAGTTGTCAGCAACATTTGCTTCAAGCCAGTACCAGGGTTGTTCCTACTCTGCAGACACGGAAAAAAGAGTCTATGTTTCCCTTCATTTCTTCCCCTGCCTGAGCTATCCTAAATTAGGAAATCATCTGGATTTGTAAAAATAATCACTTCTTGGCATGTTCACAGAGTCTGCTGAAATGTTATTTCAGAAAAGAGACTTTGAATGCCTGGAGGTCACCATAGGAAATGAATCTGGCAATTTGAAAGTGCACCTGCTGGAGTTCTAGGCCATCTCAGTATTCAAATAATTTACATCTTTCCAAACATCTTTTGTGTCTTTTATTTTGTTTAAAGAATGTTCTAAGTTATTACACTTAGTATGAATCAGAAAACAGCCCTGCTTCTTTAGATATGGATTCTGGGGTTGTTTTTTTTTTTTCCCCCTGCATTTTTTCACTATTCAGCAAACACTCATTTAGAGTCCGCCTTAGACATGGAACTCTGCTAAGCATGTATGCATCTTGTTAGGACAGCTTTGGCTGCAAGTAGCAGAAAATGAGACTCAAACTGGATTAAACAACACAGAAATGTGTCTGGCAAGGTAAGAAATGCAGGGGTAGCTCTAGCGTTGGCTGATGCTGAGTTTCAGCAAAGTCATCAAGTACCCATCATTCTTTCCAT